TCGCCGACTTTTCGCAGTCTGCCTCAGTCCCCCAAGAGCCTGCGCGGCCCTTGGTAACCCGGGCGACGACAGAGCCGGTATAATTTTCGATGGCGTCAATACTATGAGTGGCTGGTCTCGAACCCTCCTCCTTTCTCATCCGGGCTTGGGACCGGCCTTGGCGGAGTTATTGCAGCTGCCTTATACACAAAATTAACTTTAAAAGGTGTCAAAAAAGAAACAATAATGAAAGCATCAAAAACATGATTACTTCCCGATACTGAAAAGTTGACCGACAGAGATGCTTCAGTAGTGTTTAAGGCAGTAAACCGCAATGACGAACGACGAGAAGAATGCTACGCTAAAAGGCAACATGTCAACTTTAGTGAAGAACTGATTCCATGCCCAAAAATCCTGCCACTGGGAAACAATGGTTGGAAGTATCAATACCCATGCTTAACTGTCTGTTCGTAAGAAAATGCAATCTAAAAAAAACACCTGTCCACGAATTATGATTCCTACGACCAAGGAATCGAAAGATCATCGAATGAGGGAACCATAAACCAATTCTGTGAGCTCTGAAACGCAATGACCGTTAACGCTATTTAGAGCTGATAGATACAGATTCAGCGCTTGAACAGGCTTGAATGATTCACCGGGGCTATGGGCGTAACGAAAAACGCCGTCAAGTGCCTACAGCGTTACAGTCAAAGAAAAAGACTTCAGCTGATGTTCTGATGTGATATCGTGACTGAAGATAAACTAATATACATATGCAAAAGAGATGGCAACGTAATCAATATATATGGTACGAATTTCGTGATTTGATAACATGATTTCGTGATTTGATAAAACATGATTTGCATTATGCGAAATACTAAATGGCAGGGATTCATCGACCTTTATGAACATGTCCTAAGTATTAAAGATGAAGGCTTACAACTCATAAAGCATATCAAGTATCTAGGACTCACCCTATCCACAGACTTCTCCTAGCATTGACATGTAAAACCGTGGCGAGTCGTTGGCATCGGTTAGCATATTGTATTAAAAGATTAATGAAATTTTACGCACCAAAATACGCCTTCACAGATTTGCTACGGACTGTGTTTTACCTCCATTTACCTATGACGCGCGGCCATCGTTTTCTTTGAACTTCTTACGTTTGACTTTAAGAAGCTTCGAAGGCTTTCAGAATTGGTCTGCAGAATCAGCGGTACCCAGTTTAATGAGCTGACAACTTAACTAGCAACGTCTCCAGTGGCGCGGAGTCCAGATGGACAGAAAGTACCTCAGCAACATTTTGCATTCACTACACGTCCGTTTCTCGGAATGCCTGTCTCGAAATTGCTCTACCAACTTGACATATGTGAACATTTCGACGAAGACTGAGCCC